GCGACTGCGCGACAAGGAACGGGTGAATCCCCCAAATGGATTCTTGACTACACTGACTACTCCCTACTACCCCTACTGATGAGTTGAGTTAAGTTATGCTATGCCGCTGCGCATTAAACAACCTAATCTAATCTAGTTTCTGAAACTAATGTAAATAGTATATACTGGACAGATTTTTTATAGAGTTACTGACTGCCATACTGCCAAATACTGCCTGCAAAATAAGAATGATTAAATATAGCAAATAGCTTATAGCTTACAGTATGCATTTAGGTTTTCAATCAAACAAAAGCAAGTCATGACACATATTCACGTGATGTCATTTTGTGATTATTAATATAAATATATATTATTATGTTAAAACGGGACAACTAGCGATAGTTCAGAACAGTTCCGAGCGGTACCGAACTAATTACAAGCAGCAGTAAGTTGTAAAAAGTTCTGAGCGGTTCCGAACGGTTCCGAACTAATTCTTAAAAAACTTGCAAGTAGTTCAGAGCGGTTCCGAACGGTTCCGAACCAATGATACACCATGTTCTAGAAATAGTTCAGAACGGTTCCGAACCAATTCGATCTAATCATACCTCCGAACTAATCCGAACTAATCAGAACTAAATGGGGGAATCCTGCCCTGCAGATCGGTTTCGAACGGTTCCGATCTATTTCTTAGGCCCTGCCGCAGCCTACTATTGGTTCAGAACGGTTCCGAGCGGTTTCGAACTATTTCCCGTTTCCGTATGTAGGAACCGACATCACCAACATCATATAAATGTTGATGATTTTTCTATCATTCATAAATTCAAATATATTTTTGCGTACCGTACCGTATACGTCTCTGTCTCTCTTGGGAAATAGGCGGAAGCGGCATCCAAGTCACTGTCAAAAAAGCGAACTGGATATCCAGGCTCTCCAGCTCTCTTTGGTTGAACAAGGAGAGATGAGAGGGCTCCAAGTGACGATCGCTGTACCTGACAACCAGCCCACTCTGCATCCCCAACTTCTTCTGGCACTCCTTGACAAAAGCAGCGTGCTTCTGAGAGGTCACTTTGCCATCCTGGGGCCACGGCTCCAATCAGACATCAAAATGCTTGGGGGTCTAGCCTGGGGGGCTGGATTGGACTTCGCAACTAGTTATTTGTAAACTCTGGTAGAAATAGTTCGGAACAATTTGGAAATAGTTCGTAGACCAAATCCTTTATTAAGTCTTAAGGGGGTCAGGGGGGGTGGTCCATGTCCATGTTGGGCGGAAAATCCAAGGTGGAAAAATGTGCAGGGTAGCTACCAGCTACAGAGATCTGTGAAACCGGTGTGGGCGCCGAGATAAACAGTCCTTGGCCGTGTATGGGAAGTGCAACCCGTCTCCCAAGCCATCCTTCACCTCCTCAACATACTTGGAAATGTCCCTCAAGTCACTCCGATCCGAAAAGGTGAGCTGAAACTTCACCCATGCTGCCACTGCCTGGACTTGTGCCTGCGATGCCAAGTCCTTTCTCACCATGAGAAAATAGACCCGCTGCCTGCTCTGAGGGAGTCCAAAGGATGCCGCGCTTAGATCGCATAGCGGCATCATAGCGGCATTCACTCATAGCTTTTCATGCCTGCCTACATCTGCGCTACTTAGCCGAAGGGTCCTGACTTACTCAAAGTACCTTGATGTTACCATTGATGTTTTTGAAAAGAAAAACTCCATACGCCCTTACGACGCCGACTACTACTACGCTACATACATACTGTAACATACTGGCATACTGGTAACATACTGCCACTCCTACTACTGCCAAACCACCAATGATTGCAGAAGACACTGGGCTACTGGGCTGCCTTCCTGTGATATGTGGTGTGACATGTGGGTGAACCATATTCATGATTCCCGCACTCACTTACTTTCCATCTCAAAATTCCAGTCCGAATTTGAAGACTGCTTTGCTGAGTCAGAATCTGGATACTTAAATTTCAAGCAGGCTGCTCAAGGTGAAGCGTTTCCATGTGGTAGCCGTCCACCAGCTCTAAGCCAATAATTGGTTCTTGCCCCAAATAGCCGCGAAGCATAAAGTCAATCGGCGCCTGCGCAAGATGGTTTGGCAACAAGATTATCTCAGATCAACTAATTGATTGACAAATACATAACTGGTCCGAATGTTTGCAACACTCTTGTATGAGTAATCCGTCTATGTCTATGGTCTATGATTCTATGATAGGACCATCTAACCATCTATGTCAATTTGTCCTCCTTGCCTCTAGCTCACTCTATATATTTTCAGCAGCCACTGCTAATCTCAACTTCTACTACCACGTATCGCTGCATCGACGGCATCGACATCGATCAACAATTTCTGTCACCTGATGTAGGATCCTCCAACAGCTATGAATATGAACAGTCTATGATTCAAAAGTCTATGAGTCTGAGTCTGTGATATGATTCTGATATAAGCAATACGGCGCCAACAAGTCCGGTTGACACCAAAAGTTTCCCATTTATAATGAAGACAAACAAACTGCATTGATCTGCATGTTTTCTGAATCCAGTACAGTGGATAGGTAATGCGGAAATGCAGTGCAGCTGCAGCTGCTATTCTGTTTTCGACCTCGAACTCAGCTCAAAGCATCAAAGACTCCAAAGAAGTCAAAATGGATTGCGCATCTTCCGCAAGCCGATTGTGAACATGATTCTCACTGTGCTGTGCAATGAGTGCTTGCAACTTGGGAACGGCCTGGCTTTTCAAACCCGAATCTTGGATCAATTGGAAAAGACACCGGCTGTGGCACCATGCTGGTGGGCGGACTTTGCTGTGGTACCATGAGTACCGGACTGTATGGATTGGAATCTTTGACTTGCAGTGCATGCAAATCGAACGGCCACTTGCTGCAAAAGCTACCTCGGCCAACCCTAACTCAGTTGAAAAGTATGACCCGGCTTTGCCAGCCATACTCACAGATTGAGCCACTTCTGCCCGCTTCGTGTCGGCTTGATTCAACTCCTGAGCAAGAGGGGCAATTTGCTATGCCTCCTTTTCCACTGTACTTGACATAGGAATGATCACTTCTTCCTCTTTCTCAACCTCAGGAAAAGCATCACCTTCTTCTTGCACCTCACCTTTGCAAGACTCAGACTCACTGGACTCACTTGATTCTGACGAATTGTCGAGGTCCTGACTTGAGATCTCTTCAGGCGTGGCTGGTTTCACTTTTCCAACCTTGCACTTCGAAGGGCTCTTCTGGGATTTGGCTTTGGCTGCTTTGCTCTTGGGCGTTACCATTTTCCCAAGAACTTTTTTTGGCGCTGCTTGGCGCTTCCTCTTGATGCTTTTGTCAAAGCCAAAGGGCAAGGAAATTTTCTCATATTTTTCTTTGTTCTTTTCACACTGGAGACAATGAACTGGCAGCGCAACGAATCAGGACTACTCTGGAGCAAACATGTCGGACCTTGACCTTGAGACACTAAAAAGGCATTGCAATCCCAAACGGCAACTTCAACATTGCACTCAGTGTCAGGTGTGCTTTCCGACAACCTCAAAAGCATCAAGAAAAGTTCATGTGAAGACTCAAACTCGGGCTCCGCATCATGAGACCTTGTCAGCAACACTCGGTCATGCTCGAGGACCACTTTCAAAAACATGTGGAACTTGGGTTTCTTGGCAGACACACCAATAATCCGTGGATGGCTGACGTCACGACAGTGGGAGCTTGAAAACACAAGGAGGCAACCAGGGTGAATCTTATGCTCTTCAAGCTTCCATGACAGATCTTTCACCATCTGCTCCATACGGGAATAATTGTGGTCAAGTTGGCAAACGAAATGAGGACACGGAGAATCATGAACTTCAAGGTTGCCCAGGATTTCCTCTGGAATCTCAGACTCAAGAGAAGTCCCAGTGACTGCTTTGTGCATTGTTTCATCCAATCGTTCCGAAACTTCAGTGTCCCCAATGCGCATATCTATTTGCGATGCTTTCAGTGCTCCAGAGCCTCGGGTTGCTCAGGAGAGTACAGTAGTTGGAACTTGCAACACCAACAAAAAACACACACATGTCAATGTCACGTCACAGAATCCGAATCCGGAATCCGGGAATCCGAAAATGAACTGCTTGAGGAGAACCATGAAACAAGGGAGGTGAGAAAGGATGAACTAATCATGATTCATGATAATGATGATTCAATGATAGATAGCGCAGCATCATAATATAAGTCGAGTCATAGCCACAGTCATACAAATATGAATATAACTATGCGCGAAACGGAGGTTTGTCATATGATAGGTAGGAGTCGATATGTGGCAGTTCTGTGTGTGTGTGTGTTCATGTGTGTCTCTCGTCAGTCCTGTCACATGAATCCAACATACTTTAGATTTGATCCAACACATACTTCATATGCTCTAAGCGTGTCCACCGGAGTCGCAAAGGAGTCGTTCCAAAACAAACACTGGAGAATGCAAGGCGCTCTCTGCAAGGCATGTTGGTAGCTGCCACGTGGAGTGTTGCTCATATTGGGCCAGGTTGAGTAAAAGCCGTCTTGCCGCAAAATGTTTGCAGCCATTCCTTCCAACTTGTGCTTCAAGCTGTGTTGCCCGGGATGGCATTCCCGGGGCTCCAACAGAAAGTGGTGTTTCGGCCAACTCTTGCCGTAGCTCATTCTGGTGAGAAGCTTCAACTGCAAATGGTTCTTTCTCCTCTGGTGACATATTCTTCCATTCTTGTCCAATGAGCTTCACTCGTTCAGAATACTCTTTGGTGTTGAAAGCGGATCCTTCCAATCGCTGCTTGCAATAGGCATTCCAACCCGCAATCTTCCGAACCTTTTGACTCACAGCATGTCCCAAGCGCGCCTCTCTTTCCTCAGGTGTTTCATGAGCAGCGCCATGGGTTCGTTGGACTGCAGCCACTTCCTCAATCATTGAACATTTGGACAGCAAAAAGAACCTCCCAGTTTGAACCTGTCAACATACAAAGCACTCCATCAAACAAAAGCTTTGGCCCCTCAAGGCACTTGAGTGTTGACACGTTAACTCTTGTCAGTGACAAGTGATTCAGTGCACGGACATATACGGACAGTACTGTATTGTGTGAAGTAGCTTTCCGAAATTCCCTTTCTCTTACTACTTTATCAATCGTCTGGGATCTGTCACATCAGTGATGTCAGAAGACTTGCAAGGGCAACACTTTGGCTCTTTGGAAAAAAAGTCAGAGGGGTCAGCGAAGTGGAGTGTGGACAAGTCAGCATGACTGGGCCCAAGGGCAAAAGCTGAAATCAGGGACAGGGGCCGGCCATGAAAAAAACCTGAAAATCAGAATCAGCAAACAGAAACAAAGCAAACATGTTACATGAGCACGCAGCAGCACGCCACATGAACATGTCTCTGAAGCCGGGGCCTGGGGCCACCTAAACAACTAAGACCCGATCAGCGGCTTCAACGTTGTCAGGGGCTTTGCGGCTGTGCTGGTTGGAACTTGTTGTGCCAGACATACGCTGAATGCGAGAAGAAACCGACTTTGATGGCATAGTCGTTGACGCTACCATGTCTGAGATCCACTTGTGCTGTTTGACAGCCATTGAGAGAAGCGAAGTCTCCACTGCACTACGCCCCCCCCTTCACATGTCGAACCTCGTCTGCTCAAACACCATTGCATTTGCCCGTGGAGGATTTCCACTGCATCACTTGTGAGAGGGCACCATGTGCAGATTGCCCTCAAAAGGGCCTGGACCTCTTCAACCTCTGGCGCTTGCTCTGGTGTAAGCTCGGAAGACATGCGAGTGCGGTATGCATTGAGCAAAGCAGCTGTGAACTCAACATCTACACATTGCTTGCACTTCTTGTGCCTTTGCTGCAACTGTTGCCACCCTGAAACAAAGCTTGGGAAATCGGCGTCTGCTAGTGCAAGCAAAGTGTATGGTGGCTGCATGAACTCTTGTACCAACCGCCTTTGCAAGTCTGTCAATGAGACACAGATCATTTGAAAAATGAGGTTGAGCTGTTCTTGTGTCCCCTGTAGTCCCATGGCCGTTGCTTCCTTGAGACTGTTGCTCAAGACTCCGATGTAGGATCGAAGAAGCTCTTTGCCCAGGTCTCCCTGAATCACTTGAAGGAATTTTTCCTTGGACTCACGCCCCTGTTCCTCATAGCGAGGATTGGCACGGCTAAGGTACTGCATGTCGTAAAGTAGTTTTGTCCTTTTCAAGAAAAAGTTTGTTGCACGCTCCAGCGGTTGTACCAACATATCAATGATGATGGATGACTGGCTGAAGGTTTCCTTGGACACCTCGGCTAAGACCATCTTGCGGCGAACCCCGTTTTGCGCAGCGTAGTCTGCGTTTTCATTCAGCATCTCACCCAGGAGCGCTTGAAAATCTTCATTGCTGAGCCCTTGTGAGGGCTGTTGCCCGACTTTACTCTCTGCCAACAACACATCGACCACTTCAGAAAGTTTGCTGTTGCTGCTTGCGCTTGACATAGTGATGCTCTTCATTTCCTGCAAAATTCGTGGCAAAATGCCATGCAGGTTGGTGGCAACTCGCATATAGCTGGATGCCTGGCAGTAATGTTTCATTCGGTACAGCAATGGCACTGCAAAGCCTTTAGCGAGAAATGCTGTCAAGCAGGAAATCAAGCGATTCCATGCGTCACCCTCACTTTCACAGCATACTTGGCCACCATTGCTGGCCGGCAATAGGCACCAGTGCACCAAACGCCCCTGACTGTCAGCAGTGTTGCCATTCAAGAACTGAACAAGGTCTTGAAGGGCGGTGACTGTAGCTTTCGATCGAGAATCAAAGCCCCTGACCAACCACTCTGCTCTCTTCCGCCAGTTTGACATTTCTTCTGGAAACTTTGCCACTTGAACCCCTTAGATGGTGAGCAATGACAACGCATGCGCAGACAAGGTTCACTGAAGGACATGTGAGATTTGCAAAACATGATCTTGGGAATTTCTACGCTCTAGGCCCTAGGCTCAGCATTCCCATGATTGATTCATATAGCTTCCACTGACTCAGAGGTTAATGGGTGAAACACTGACCAGAACACAAACCAAAAAGGCTCCAAACTCCAAATATATAAAATCACTGTCATCAATCATTCAAGACACATTGAAAGACACCAGGTCGCTGCACTAAGCTCACCAAAGCGGCAGTAAATCGTCTCCGGAATCCCGCACATTCAAAAAGGTGAGCTAGTCTGACAAGTGTCGACCAGTACCTCTCAATTCCCAGAACCACAGGTCTGCGAATCAACCTCATTTGGTGGTTGCAGCATTTGATCCGCATAGCGACAGTTCTACAGGCTTCAGCTGAGCTGATGCGCTTACCTGCCAGCAATTTCCTCTCAATCGCAAACGCTGCTGAGTTTGCCTCAAGGGCGTCACCGCACATCACTTGCACTGCCCACTTTGCATTGGTAATAGCATTGGTGACTGTATCAGTGATGCCTAGTGCTTTCCACTTTTGGCCCACACCTGAACCACCAGCAATCAAGTGAGAAGCATACGCAGCATGAATGTGCTCCCGGTTGGGCGCCTTCAAAACGGATATAGGGCAAGGGACAGACAAACAGTGCCAATCATGTTGTGAATCCGAAGGAGCATCATAACACACAACGCAGTTCTGGGCGACATTCATCACGGTAAACACCAGTGATCGGTCACCTTTGCTTGGCCCCTTGGTGTCATCTGGCACTGCTGTGTTGATGACAAACTTCACAGGAGGGTTTGCTGGAGGAACGGCAAAAATTGCTTCAAGTGCATGGGCAATGGCGCACAAAAGGCTCCAAGCACATCTGGCACGATCTCTTTGATTCCCCCGATTCTGGTTCGGATCTGTGATGGTCTCATAACCCTGTGACAACGCATAGGAATGATGGAGTCTTCCTGTCAAAAACTTTTTCTGCAAAAATTTAGCTGCAGGAGAGGCATCTGAAATTCCTGATACAGCAAAAACTCCAGCACTACTGGCGCTAGAGCCACCACCACAATCTTTTGATGCCTTCCGAGCTGCCCGTGAGGAGGCCAAAGCACTCCTAGCCTTCTCTGTTTGCAAACGTCTCTTGATCACATGTGGATCCGAACTGTCCTTTTCATGTTCTTTCTCTTCAGCATCACCATCACTATCAGCATCCAAGAAAAGTCTTCCCAACGGCATTGCTCAGTGCACGCTGGAGTAAGCGACTCCAACACACATAACACACGGTCTTGATTTCAATTGGATACTTCATCTGTGATAAAGAATCTGCTTAGGACTTAGGAGATCTTAGGAGCATGGTCCAGCATGGTGTCAAAGTAGTGGCAGCTCTGGTCAGGTGGAAATCACAAGCCGCTAATGGAAAACAAAAAGGAAGGAGAGTCAGTGGACCTTAATTTAGTGGAGATGAATCCTGTATGCGCAGTCTGGTGATGCGTTGTAAGTTTCCAGCCACTACTCACGCTGTGACTTGAAGCAAAGCACCGAAAAGCAAAGTTGACTCAAGATGTATAAGATCTGACAATTGAAGGGTCACAAACAAAGATTCATCACGTCACTCATCCCATCACCATCCCATCAAACTAGCGGGTTGCCCTGCCTTGTAGACCCTGAAAAAACTGCCATTGCTTCCTCGTGGGAAAGGCCGATAAATGCCCTTCACCTGCTGCAGCCCAGAGTCAATTTAGGTGAGTGATTACTTTTGCCAGTTGACTCCGTTGACTCAGACTTGAGATCCCCTGGCCAAACCGCCAAGCACCATGCCACTACTACAACTACCAGTTTTGTCCAAGTACAGTACAGGTCCTACCCTACTCTCGCGTTACTTCTCGCCCCGCTAATCTTGTTAGAGAATTAGAGCACCCTCCAATCTGCGCCAGATTGCGTAAGGTTTTGGAACAAACATAACGCACCAATTGACAATCTAAAAAAACTGATATTACATAGACAACGGCGCTCGCCACTCTCTTTCAGGAAAAGTATTCATTTTTGAGTGCACCACGCCTCCTCCACCAACACCACGCGTGGACGCCTGGCACCTGAAGGTCTGGCAAATCTTCGGGCAAAGCAAGCGTCAACGTGTGGCATTGTTGTTTGGCTTTGATTTCAATCACTTTCATTTCACTTTACTTCATACAAAACGGATCATAGAACTCAGAGCCAAATCTGCCCATTCCAATGCCCTTTCCTGTCCTGTATTTCTTTTTTGATTTGAAATTTCTTGAAGATAGAATTTGGATCGCAAAATCTTGTCACTTGTCATGGTCAGTTCCAATGGTAAGCTAGGCTTTCTTGCCAAAGCACGAACATGACGGCAGCCAGACAGGAAAGCTTCTGCAGAAGGTTCCAAAAATGGGTTATAGATGTTATAGTCCTTGTTCTGCCTCTTGTTGTTCAAGACTGAATAGGGACAGCATGGTGGTCCCATGCAGAAAATGTCCTGACGCAACACAGAAGGTAACGCGCATGATATTGTCCAAGAAGAGACACTGAGAACTGCGAGTCACATTCCAGCCATCCATCAGGCACATGTCACATATCTCATATCTCTCACATAAGTCTTTCAAGCCACGCCCCAGACCCCCACCGATGCAAAGAATGCGGAAAACGGAATAATACGTCTCCAACCGCTACTCTCTAACTGTCGTCAGTTCAGTAGATTGATGATTGATTGATTTCCCAATTAATTAATCCGAAAAAGAAAGTGATTTTAACCATTGCCAATCACAACGAACGCAATCAAACAATTCAAATTCACGCAGTCCTCCGGCTCTGCGTCAACAGTGCACCGCCGGTTATGTATTGCCATGCTCCTCCAGTCACTCCGCAGCTGATGTCGCCGAACAGATGGTCGACTTGGCTGGCAAAACACATCTGAATCTTAGAATCGCCGCTCCAAAAAGTCTTGCTACACAGATTGGGTATTGGGTTGAGCAGAATCAAGGGCCATGTCAAGTCACATGTCACAATGTGACAATGTTGTGTGAGTGATATGATATGTGAAGTGAGTGACGTGATTCATGTGATAAAAACTGAACACCAGGCAGTCAGTGTGAGTGAGAAGTCATGTTTGCACAGCCCAGTCTGTCATTCATTTATTCATCCGTCGCATTCTCTCATTCATTCTTATCCGTCTAGTCTATCGCTGTCAAGGGGCGGGAATCCTTGAAGTTCTGGCTGTCAGCCAAGCGTTGTTTCATCGGGTCGATAAAATGGACCCCAAGGACACGTCGGCGGATATAACAAAAGCAACAAAGAAATGATGGACGTTCTTTCAGAAGCAAGGACGAAACCGAGATCTACTTCCGCTCGCGAATCATGAGGGCAACAGAGACACTTTACTACTCAACGCACAACCTCTTCAACTCAAAGCATGTCCTCACCAAGGCAATTGAATTCCCTTCGAAGTATGTTGCGGACATCTCTCTTGAGTATTCAGAAAGGGAGGCTGCTGCAATGGTGAGTGGTCTCTATGTCCACACCAAAAAACTCGAAGTGTCAGAACTTTTCAGTGTTGCCATCTCCATGGACCATCACTACGGACACCTATCTCATTTTAGCTTGGTCCTATCGGCACCTGACATTGGTTCGGCTAGGAAGGTTTACTCTCTTACGCCTGCTGTCCAATTGTACAGACTCCGCGCCGAGGCTCTTGATTCTCATCTTGCGGCATTCAGTCTCCGAGCACCCGACATTTTGTCTCTTGAAGTTGAAGCCGCAAGCATCATCTCTTCACGCGCAAGCATCATCTTCGCCTCTTTTCACAGAGGATGGGAATTCCGACTCATGATTTGAATTTCTTCATCTGTTGCTGAATCCGCAGGGATTGTGGAGGTCTTCAGGGTCCGTGCATTGGAGCATTTCGATTCAGAGTACAATTTGGCAAGGGCAACACTGAAGAACATCGCAGAGCTGGGAGGAGCTTTGACGAATTATCGCTTGGCATTTCAATCCTACCTTACAGGACTGGACAGCGCCATGACAGATTTTGCCAGGCGTCTTGTCGACAAGAGGAGGGAATCCAGAATGGCAATCGCAGATCAAGAGGCAAGGGCTGCTGCTCAACCGTCAGCTCTGGAATAGGCGGTCGGTGATGCGAGCGCAAGATATGAAGTCAAAACATGAGCATGTGGAACAGTGACGTTCCGAGTGTAAGTCTCAGATTCCCATTGGTCATGTGCGGAGCTTGGCTCTAATTCGCAAGAGCTTGAGGGAGACTTTTGACAACTCCGGATGAGTTGTTTGTCCACGTCGTTGTTTCATCGGGTCGATATCGAGGGCCGTTGACTTGAACCGCAAGTCCATGTGGATCGTGTTGAGGTACTGGGCGATGTCTCTCCTAAGGACGGGAAGCACTCGAGTCCTGCCCCTGAAACTTCCAACAGTCAGAAACAAGAAAAGGATGACAAACAATCACTCACCAAGTCTGCAAGTCTAAGTCTCAGTCTATGAACTGGACTGTGCATGACACTACTTGTCAAAACACCAATGCGCCACCTCTCACTCTCAGCATCAAACTGCACTGCACCAACGAACAACCGTTTGAAATAACATTAAATCATGAATCATTATCATTAAATAAACATAACATAGCATGACCAAAGTTCATGGGCCTTATCACGTGTCGGCTTTGCCTTGTCTACTCCACATGATTCCTGGATCAAATGCAAAAAAGTGTCATCAAATATGTTCCTGTCCCTGCTCCAGCACACCCTTCCACGATGCGCACTGTCGGGGGATTCTCGTTGTCGACGCGACAGGACCTGAGCAAATTGAGCAAACAAATCAGGTTTCCAGGATTCGAATGTGGTAGTGGGATCAACGTGTACAGGAGTCACAAGTCACAGGCGAGTACAAAATCAATTGCTTTTTCGTTGTGTCACTGTGTCACGTCTTTTCGTTGTAGCATTTGCTGCACTTCACTGCATCGCATACAAATATTCCAAGCCAAATAATCATGGCTACATGGCGACTATCCTTGATTTACCTTACCTATAGACTATAGATGAGGAGGTCCAGTCAGTCTGCCTACCCCAAAAACACACCAGGGTGCAAATCGGTGAGGCCGAGCTTGTCGCACATGTGGGCCACCCAATCCAAGAATTGCAGTTTCCCTTCCCTGGGCATAGTGCCGCCGGTCCTTAGATCAGTCATGGCCGTCCGCCGCATCAACAACATGACTCGTGACTGCCAAGTCGTGTGAAAAAATAGGTTCGGGGCACTGGGTCACGCTATCGGCTATCGGTTTTGATGACTTAGTCAGTTTGGTGGGGGGTTTGGTGGTGGGGTTTGGTTTGGTGCGTCAGTTTGGTGGGTTTGGTTTGGTTTGGTGGTTTGATTCTCCCTTTACTGCACGCAAAAAATGATTCAAGCACTCAACCAGCCAGTAAGATTAAGTTCAAAGTCTCTGAGCAGATGTGTCAGGCACACCAATGTCACTGTCAAAGACTTGGGAGAGAACTGATGCTCCACCATCATCTGATGTATCCCCATCTTCTAATGCAAACCGCCCCAGCCGACGCAGTGACATTGCTAACTAGCCTAAGGGGACCTGACACTGTCAGCAACAACAAAAGCGGCCACACACCACCACCCTGAGCCAAAACAGCCATGGCGCAAGCGATCTCTCTGGACAATGTTCTCGGGGTGGTGGTGGTGGTGGAGGCGGAGGAGGTGGAAGTGGCAAGGGCCTTTTCAAAGGCTTAGGAGGAGGTGGTGGCAGTGATCGTCTTGGTCTTCTCATCTCTGGCACTGGCGGTGGAAGAGGTAGCCTTGAAGTATCACACTCACTATCCTGCTGCTTGCTCTTGCGAACCACCCTGACCTTGATAATTCTTCTCACCTTGACTTTAATCCGCTTCTTGCCCTTGCCCATTGCTCAGTCAGCACTTGAAGGGGGATGGCTGACATGCAGCACAGTATGTGAGAGTGATTAAGAGTGGGCTAGGTTAGTTTAATGGCAGCGTAGCCAGCATAGCATAGAATAGCATTTGATAGCTTTGCAGTTGCATGATAGTAGTAGCACCAAGCCAGATCTAGGCTTGAAGAATTTGTAAATAGTTCGAAGTCATTTGTATATAGTTCGGCCACCCCCCCTTGAAACAGTAGTGGCCTCTTAAAGAGGCCACAGCCTACAGTAACATATTTGGCCTTTAATTTGCGTGAAGATTTGATCCTGGTTT